CGTCTGACGTTTTCAAAGTCATATCCAGTTGCTTGAGTAACTGCTTTTTGGCGTACCCAAATTTGTTGTTATCATCACACAAACCACTAACTGTCATTTTTCACGAGAAAGAAAAGGTTACCCTACCCTAGGTGTGGTAGCAGAACAAAGTTTTCTCCCTATGAGGATTTCTATCTATAGTTATGTGCCTAAAGTCAGAAGGTTCGACGCTGTAAAATTGATAGTAGGGATTATGTGACATTATCACCAAAACAAAATGAGGTATTTTTATGGAGCAAGTATGGGGTCCCCGATATGCAATGAATGAATGAATGTATGAATGAATGAATGAATGAATGAATGAATGAATGAATGAATGAATGAATGTTTATTATCGTGCCATTGCGATCAATATGCCGCCCAGCCCATATGGGCTTATAAGGCACCGACAAAATACAAAATCAAAAAAAAAATCAAAAGGTACAGAGAATCAGATGTAACATAAATTATAACTTAATATAATATATAATAAATACAGGAAATTAAGTAATACTGGTCATATACAGAAATCAAATCAAATGTAACATATAGATCATTTTCTACTTCTTGTAAATCACACAGCAGACATAGTCTGTCCTTTTCTGGAATGCCCCGATATCTTCCCGTTCCAATACACAAAGGTAATATTCCAGATCTAAACTGGGCACAAAGAGATCTTTGTGATCTTGTAAAGGGGAAAAGTAACATATTTTTCTGGAGAGATGTGTGTCTTTGATTAGCACGTAAGTTCTCAGTTTTGGTTTAGACCATAATTCAGAGGCCCAGTTTTCTTCATATTGAGAGAACAGCACATCCTTGATGAGTCTAGTATTACCTCTGAGCCTATTTGAGAAGACATATTCATGTTCAGAGTCACAAAATATTTATATATACAAGTATAAGGGCAGCAAGGTTAGGGATACCCTTAACTTATGTCACTGAAAGCGACAAATTGCTTATAGAGCAGGAAAACCTATCGATGCAAGGATGTACAATATAATGATATGTGTATGTCTCTGATGTCAGGAATAGTTCTTCGGTTTGCGTTTTTGTGTGTGGGGGAGGCATTATGTGAGACATCAAAATATGTAAGGCATCGTCATACAATTGCTATTCATTTATCATGGTGTATTGTACCTCTTTGCCCAGTTGGAACCATTTTTCATCATCTATTACTAAGTTATGGCAGTTTCAGAAAAGATGTTTAAACCCGGTGTACTGACAGCCTGGGTCTGTTTACACTACCTGAGTTATGTCCTTACAAAAAGCCACTAAAACAAAGCCACAGAAAGAATAAAGAAACACAAAAAGACTGAAGAGGAGTTTGGTTTGATTAGTGTTTCTGATACCGGTCCATATGCCTACGAAACAAAATAACTCTTCAAGCAGAGGTTGTGGGGGAATGATCGTTAGCTTTTCAAACATGTGTACGGCCGGCGACCTTCTCTGGCTAATGGATACTGTCTTGCTACCGAAAGGGATCTGCTTGGAGATTAGAAAAAAATAGCGATGACAAAAAAAATATTGTCTACAT